ACTCAAACACAAGAAATTGAAATCCTCTTAGCTTCAATTCTGCACACAAACAAGATGCCCAAGCCCACCAATTCAAAGCTTCAAATTGCCATGTTCCCATGGTTTGCTTATGGCCATATGATACCATTCCTCCAACTTGCTAATGAATTAGCTAAGAGAGGTCACACCATTTCCTTCTTACTCCCAAAGAAGGCCCTCCCCAAGCTAGCTAGCAACAATCTTCACCCTCATCTCATAACGTTCCACTCCCTCACCGTCCCTCATGTTCCTGGCCTGACCCCCGGTGCTGAAACCACGGTCGAAGAAAAAAGACTCTTTGGTCCTTTCGCTAGCCATGGACAGGACCAGGGACCAGGTCCGGGCAATACTCGAGAAGCAAAAGCCCAACATTGTTTTCTTTGACTTGGCTTCTTGGGTACCGGACTTGGGCCTCGAGATCGGGTTCAAGACGGTTTATTACAAAGTAATGAGCCCAACTACATCAGCAATAAAAGTAACAAGATGTGACTTGGATAAGCCCTTTACGGCTGCTAATTTCATGGAGCCTCCGCCAGGGTTCCCTTCTTCAAAAGTCCTGTTCAAAGAGCACGAGGCCCGAAGAGCGGTATTTGCCTTTAATATCCATCGGGATAACGTGATAAAGTTTTTGGGCCGTAGTGACACAGGAATGAGGAGGTGCGATTTATTAGCAGTGAAAACCGTGAAGGAATTGGAAGGGAAGTACTGTGACTACCTTTCCACTCTATATGGAAAACCCGTCATCTGTACCGGCCCGGTCTTGCCCGAACCCAAAGCACAGCCATTGGAAGCCAAATTCAATAACTGGCTCGAGAACTTCAGGCCTGGTTCTGTGATTTTCTGTGCTCTTGGGAGCGAATGGGTTCTTGAGAAAGACCAATTCCAGGAACTCCTTTTGGGATTTGAAGAAACAAAGCTTCCATTTCTGGTAGCCCTTAAGCCGCCAAAGGGTACATGCACAATAGAAGAAGGATTTCCAGAGGGGTTTCAGGAAAGGGTCCAAAACAGAGGGATGGTTTGTGGGGGTTGGGTCCCACAAGATCTGATTTTGGGGCACAAATCAGTTGGGTGCTTTGTGAACCATTGTGGGTATGGGTCAATGTGGGAGGCTTTGATGAGTGATTGTCAGCTAGTGTTTGTGCCCAATATTCTTGACCAAAGTTTGAACACAAGGCTTATGGCTGAAGAGCTGGAAGTAGCCGTTGAAGTGGAGAGGGATGAAAATGCAGGGTTTTCAAAAGAGAGTATTTGCAAGGCTGTTAAATCAGTGATGGATGATGATAGCCAGGTTGGTTGGTTGGTAAGGGAGAATCACATGAAGTTTAAGGAAGTCTTAAACAAGCCTGGCTTCTTCACTAACTATGTGGACACTTTTATCGAACATTTGCAAGGATTATTATTAGTTGAGTAACATCATTGAGATTGTTTTCTAAAATTGAGCTTATGGTGATCAAGGTGACATGATTTGCAAGAGCTTTCATCACATTTAATAAAGGTGTTCTAATAAGACTATATGCTTTCATCAAATAATTAGACTTATTTAATCTTTAAAAGTGTTAAAATATTCCAAATAATTAGTGAACGAGTCTTTTTTACAATGATAATTTTATTTATGTACTTTATCTTTTATATTAAAAAGATTCTCATTAATAAGTACTAGTGTAAGACATGACATTATGTATTAATGTTATTCAAAACTGAATTTATTTTAAGAGTGCATGTTATTGTGAAAATGGTACATGATATATATGACTACAAAACGTTAATTTTGATAATGAAATCGCATAAAAAATATAACAACGATTTAATATTTGTGTAAACTTTTTAAACCACAATTCATACAATAGAATCAAGATTGATTATTAGGGAAAATGATCAAATATGTCCTTGTACTATTTTGAATTCAACACTTAAATTTTTATACTAAAAAAGTATCATATGAGTACGCTTACTTTAAAAAAAATGATCAATTTGGCCATTTATTCAGTTTTGTCTTGTAATACTAGATTTTATATATTAAGAAACTCAAAAAAATTGTAAAAATATAATGTGAAGAAATATAGATAAAAATTGCAAACATAAAAATGCTACATAGCCTAAAAAATAGACCAATTGAAGTTAATAACCTCTATTTTATTTATTGAAACATACAGCACTTTTTTGTTAATATACCATCCGTAAAATTTTAACTACCGTATATAACCTTCCTAATTATGGTTACAAATAAAAGCCGCCAAAAGTCAGTCTCATACCCGTTGTTGCATCCATGGACTGCTACATATCATATGTCAAACACAACCATGTGGAATTTGATATTTATTATGTTCTAATACTTTTTCACCGAAATTGTAGAAATTCACATATAGCTGCACTACTTCCGATCAATTGCTAGATGGCTAGTCCCATCAGTATCCATATGTTGTTGGTTCTGAACAATAAGTAATATGGAGTATATTTTGAGTACTTCTGTCGCTAAGAAATTCTCACTTGAACAAGGTTAAACTCCCTAGTGGAGCCTGATCCACTTAATTTTATTCACAAAAACCTTGGAGGATCGGATATGGATGGCCGTTTCTACACTTGGATGTGAACTACAAGTGCATAACTAGGGGGAAGTTGCGGAGGAGGAAACTAACTAAGGTTATACTCCGTAATAGAAAACGTGCACCGGTGGAGTTTAATAAATTAAAGACTATCTACTTAATTGTTACTAATCCATAATATTAACTTAAACACATATATTTAATTATGTACTTATACCCAATTTTCTCAACATTTTATTAATGTCAAAGTCAATATTTTTAAAATTTTGAAATTATTTGTATATTCTAATTTATTTAAATGATTTTTTAACTTTTTTAAATTATATATCTGTTTTTACATTTCTGCTATTTTTATATTATTATGACATTATTTTTCGAATTTATATGACTTTTTATAAGATTTATCAATAGCTCTAATTTTTTTTTAAAAATAACCTACTATAAGAATTATTGCATTATTTATAATTTGAATTTTTACACAATACTCCCTCCGTCCCCTTTTAAAAGTCCCGGAAGAGGGTGGCACGAGTTTTAAGAAAAGTGGGTTTGTGTGGTTGATATTAATTGATAAAGTAGGAATAAAGTAAGAATAAAGTAAGAATAATTTTGAGCCACACAAACTTTACCAAATGAGGTATGGGACATTTAAATAGGGACATCCCAATATGATAAAATGGGACATTTAATTGGGGACGGAGGGAGTATCAAATTAATGTTTTTTCTATGATCTCGATAATACAATATTAAACTAAAGCGTGATATGGTAACATATGCATGTGTGATGTGTACTATCAATGTAGTACCTCACCTTTCCAATGTTTTCTACTTCTTCCATCCAGAATTGAATTGCAATTTGTGGATTTTAAAGTTTTTTGACGATAAAGCTTTGTCCCCTATAATTGTTCCATTTATCATTTTTGGATGTCCCCTTATTATGGTCACATACCATATTTGGTAACATTTGTGTGACTCTATTATTTTTTTTATTCCGAAATTTCACCATTTTGGTGGGGTAAATGTCGGGGAACATTTGTATTTTTGGAACATATAAATTTTATAAACTAAAAATAAATTTGTGTGTAGACTAGGATCCGTTTGCTTTATCGTCTATGAAACCTCGTAAATCGCAATCAGACCATCACATTAATAAGTTTTACACATTATAATGACCTGGTTTTTATTTTTCACTTAATTTTTTTTAGTGATAGTTTCCTTCTAAGAGCATCTCCATTCATACTCCTCAAATATTTGATTTTTTATGTTTTTCTCTTTTCTTGTCATTGTCACAAATAAAATCAAAGCTTACTAATTCCCCCCCTCAACCATGATCTCTATTTATTAGTCCGTTATAATTTTTTTTGTTATTTCCAAAAAGGTATTGTAGTCATTCTAAATTAAAAGACATGGTTACATTAAATGTGTTTATTGAAACTTGGGAATAATCTTGAACTAGTCAATATTTGATATTATTTTTTTGGGATAAGGGTCAGATAGGGCCTCGAACTCGAAAAAAAAATGTCAAATAAGGTCATATTTAGGATGCTCTGTCCGGCCGACGCCATTTGGGGCGGTTCCAGATGTCATTTTTTGATGAATTTTTTTGAGCATCTTCCTCATTAAGTCTAGTTTACCCATACCAAATTTCAGCTAAAAATTCAACCGGGAAGGTAGTCAAATAATTTTTTGAAGATAATTGTGAAGTTAAACAACCCCGTACATTTCGGAAAATCATTTGACTACCTTCCCGGTTGCATTTTTAGGTGAAATTTGGTATGAGTAAACTAGACTTAATGAGGAAGATGCTCAAAAAAATTCATCAAAAAATTCCATCGGGAACCACCCCAAATGGCGTCGGCCGGACAGAGCATCCTAAATATGACCTTATTTGACATTTTTTTTCGAGTTTGAGGCCCTATCTGACCCTTATCCCTTTTTTTTTTATCAAAATAACCTTTCAAAATAATCTCATCTTCTCAATCATAATATCTAAAAATATCTGCCACATCGTCAAGATGATCTCCAAATAATCTCATGGTTGAGGATGCCATAAACATCTTTTCTTTTTTGAATTATCTTTCCATTTGTTTCCTCTTCATTCCACATTTTGTCCATGGATCTCTTTCCTTCCGTCATAGCAAACCTTTTCCACGGATTTATGCTTCCATCGCTGCAAGGGATCAAGATTCTTTGTCTGGCTTTGCAGCCGGGTAGGGTGCCTGGTTGATTACAGCTGCACGATCTACACTTCTTCTTCCCAAACTCTCCTTCCTTATTGCTCTTGCCCGTTCCATTGCGCAAGGTACCTCTGCCGTGCGGCAGAGGATCCAAATCCCGCTGCAATGGGCTCAAGGAGGAGTAGGTGCAAGGCGCGTGAGAATGGTGGATTGGTGGTGGCTAGTGACGGATCAATAACCTTTTCTGAGGCCTTCAAGCACGAGATTGAATTGAAGTAGCTCCTGGGAATGAATTGGTGTGGTTCTGTTGAATGAGTTGCTCCTGCATATATAAAAAATTTAGTCACGGACTTAGTCACGGATTTGTCCGTCACTAAGCAAAACCGTGTACATTACGTGTCAAACCCGTGTTAATGACGTGTAAATGACGCGTGCGAATAATTTTATTCAATTTAGTCACGGAATTAGTCACGGTCATGTCCGTGACTAAATTTATCTGTACAGAAAACCATTGTGGAATAATTTCTGGGAGTTAGAAAATTAAATTTTATTCATAGTCACGGATTTAGTCACGGACACATCCATGACTAAATCGCCGTAATAAAACAAGACACGCCAGAAACGCAATCGGGACTATCGGAGAACTTTAGTCACGGATCAGACCGTGACTAAACTTAGTCACGGACATAGTCACGGTCAAATCCTTGACTAATTTTTTTTTAAAATTTCCGTGACTAGTCCGTGACAAAACTAGTCACGGACTAAATTCGTGACTAAAATTCGTGACTACAGGCGTGCTTTTTTGTAGTGTAGGTGTTTGTCGGAATGAATCATCACCAATACGTTCGACACGCATTTCTATCTGAAGGTGATAATATGAGTTTAGTCAATTTCCAGTCAACCTTTAACGGAATCTTTATTTTTAAAGATGACTGATAAAAGTAAGGAAAAATTACTTTAAATAATACCAACTATCACTGGCCCAGGGTAAGATTGGGGTAATACAGTTAGGGTATATAAATAAATAAAAAGTAGAAGAGGCTCAGTGGTATTAAAAAAAAAAAAATCGGCCCAGTGTCCCCGTGCATTGTTGCCTCTCCCGTGATCGGAAAAGGGGATGTGCCGAAGTAGACTGTGCCGGTGCAAAGGAAAGAAAGGAAGAAAATAATTAAAACAAAAATTTTAAAATTGACGCTTGGGCCATATATATTGACGAATCAAACATTGACGAATGTTTTTAAAATTGACCCTTAGGCCTTTCCTTAGTCAAACAACCAAACGCATTAATGAATTAAGGCTAGATAACTCTAATATACTAATTATGAAATCTATTTTTAATCTATTCCTTCCTAATTTGTTAGAGTTCATATTATTTTGTGTGTAATATATTGTCAATTTCTAATCATAATTTATAATTTATACGGAGTACATTATACAGAGTATGTGATCGGTTTATACTCCGTAATTGTTAGCTACAACATTATTCTTGTCTTACTAAAATGTTATTTCATTTAATTTCAATTAAATAATATGTAATGTCTTTTGTAAAATATTTCGATTTGGTAGAAGAGATTATAGGCACTCAACAGCCTCATTCAAAGAAAGTTAAAGCAACTTTGCATTCTTTTTTGCTCTCCAAAAAAAATTGCATTCTTTTTTAGATCGACTACTACCGCTAGTAATGTACAAAGAGAAGGTACTAGTATGCACCAAATTGACCATAGTATTTCTAATGTTGTAAATCATTCATCTTCTAATCTGGTTGAGATTGAAAGAGATCAGGAAAAAAAAGAAATATCTGATTGACCTTTAGACAAAAGGAATGAAGTGAGACGACTATATTTAATATCGTCCTTACCAACTAAAACTTGAGTTGTATAAAAGTCGAGTTTAATTGGTTAAAGCACTCTTTCTGGATACGGCCCAGCCTTCTTTGATGTGCTGGCTCCACCCCTGCCAACTATCATCCTTGAACCAATAATAA